TCCAAGATGGCTCAAAATTTCTTGTATCCCATATAACTCTTGACTGAGATACCGATAAGGCGTCCAACATTTCAACGTACAGTTTATTTGTGTTTTCCCTAAATTTCTTTAGAGTTTCTGGAAAATCAAAGGCTGCTCCGGCCAAGTTGCTGTGGGGCAATCCATCCTTTAATTCAAGAAGCAGAGAGCAAAACTGCTGCCCATTTCGATAAACAGAACTTCCAAGAAGTCTAGTCTTCAAGGGATGACACAATTTCCTTGCACACAGAAAAATTATTTTCACTAGTCTTATCTCTACCTTGAACTCATTCAGAGCACGATCATCCTTGCAGATATCTAAGATTGAATCAATGCAAGTCATCGTCGTTAGACAGAGTCAGTGATGGTGATCCAGATTCCCGGATTCCCGTATAAGCCAAACGGGCATGGTCAGCAACAGGGTTGATCTTCTCTACTGATTCAGAAATATTCAAGTCCATTCCATCAAGCACATGATTATCATCCCTGAAAAACCAAGAAAGGAAACAAAGATGTGCTGCAGACACTGCCACAACACCACAGTGCTTCATAAATTCATTCTTGTACTTGCCCTGCTTTCGGACAAAACATATGAAATCTTTCAGTAATACTAACTTCTCTTGAAGGGGCTTCAAGAGCGTAGCAAATCTTGAATCACGGGCTTTACCCCATAAGAGATTATCCTCAAAATTCTCCAGCAAGGAGTGGAAGAAATCCAAAAATTCACCTTTGTCAGAAGAACTCAGTTCCAATAAGCAATCCAACATATAATAGCATTCAGGCATCCTTTGCTTCCAGTGCCACTGAAGCTGCAGCTCTAGCGATGGCTCAATATCTTTTGTATTGGACAGGAATCCAGGGTGAGAAAGGGATTGGGACATGGAATCTGACATCCATACGTATGCATCTCTAATTACTTTCCTTAAGCTCTTGAGTTGAAAACAAGAGTCTTCTCCAGAAAGGGGCAATCCACCCTGAAGAGGGTAAAAACACTGCAAATTTTCACGAGCATGTTCTTGAATGCTGCGAATGGAGAACCCCCAATTTGCTAGCACAGAGGAGAAATGTTTTCACTAGTCTTAACTCGACCTTCAGCATATTCAATCCATGATATTTCTTGCAGAAATCATCCTCGCCCACCAGCCTCTTCAGCTTGAGGAAGGCTAAATCAATGTAAAGTATGCAGTCAGTCTAGCTGCTCTCTTCTTCTACTGAGCATGATCCCTCTTCCAGTATCTGAGATTTATCTCTAAGTCCCAAGTACTAGAAATCCGAGAGAGATGGAGAAAGACGATAGGAAAGAGAGCTTGCAAGAGATGAAGCAGGAAGGCAGGGGAGAAGGGGGACGTAACCAACCAGCATGGAAGGAGGTGGAAGAGTAGAATGTTGTCGTTCTTCCTTCTTTTTCGATTCTAAAAACAGCAAAGTAAATATGCCGTTTATCTTTTCATTCTTTTGGGCACTCAAAGGAGGACCCCATTAGGCCATTAGCCCGTTACCGACCAACTCTTTTGGGCATTATTACTTCTCCTGGCTTTTAGAACACTATATAAAACCCATTACTCTTTAGAATGCATGCTTAAGTTATTGGCGTTGTTTGGATTATCATTTTCCACGCAAAAATTTCTGTATTTTTCGCAAACATTTTTTTCAATCAACTTTTTGTCTCACATAAATTAAATCACTATAGTATATTTTTCTATAAAAACTCTAGAAAATAACAATCCAAGCGGGCTCATATTTTTCCTAATAATAGAAAGCATGTTTACATAATGCAGAAATAGAGATTTACAATTTTTACTCATATGAATTTACTTTGTACTTAATTTGACCTTGTCATGTGATATATATATATATATATATATATATATATATACGCGCGCGCACGCACACACACACATATATAAAAAAAGGGTCCATCAGACACTCATTAGAATTGGATTAAGGTGTTAATTTTTATTTTTAAAAAGTAAAATTAAATGACAAAAGTATATAAATTCAAGGCAGTCAGTAATTGTAGCTGTATATATTCAAAGGACAAATGCAAGTTAGGCGATAATTATTAGTGTGATTTAGGTGGCCCCTGTTACATAATAATAATAATTATAATAATAAAATCCATATGCATACTCTTATTAATAGTGAAGTAGAATTATTTGGTAACAAGACATGGCATACTTCTTTTATTTTATCTGCTTTCCTTTTGTTTTATGGACTTGCTTTAGAAAAATTTAGCACAAAATTCTTTCAAATATGATATGGGAGGAAAACAACAAATTTGAGAAGTACCCAATTAAGCCCCTAAAAAAATTTAAAATTTCAGAATGCATTATTATTATTATTTTTTTTTTTTGAAGAGTCATGTTTGGACAGAAAAATTCCTTCTGCTGTCAAATGTTGTCGATCAGAAGAAGTGGCAAATGTTTCATTTTCTCCTAATCTGTGCAGTTGCTCTACATACATTATGATTAATTTTTAACATTGAAATGCTTTTGCAGCTTGCTTATCACTACTAAGTAATTCCATTCACACGCCACCTCTACTGCACTTCCAAGTTCCATCATATATTGCAGGCTGCAAAAAGAGGTGTGGAAATGAGGCTTTTATTCCCTGATTGCTTTTCTTGCTCAGAAATCTGGACTACATTGAGATTCTGAATGGTCAAACAAACAATGAATGTTCCAGGAAAGCAACTGTCTAATCTATCAAGGCAAAATTCCATGTGTCTTTTCCATTCAATTCTGATGTGTATCTCAGTTTATTTGCAGTTGATAGAGAATGGATGATATAGTGTATCCTCTTTGACATGTTTCTTGAAAGAAAGGACTTTTGAGAGAATCAAGATTGTTACACAAAGAGAAGATCCATTGCAAAGATAAGTAGGCCATTACTTTCTCATAGACTTGGGGATCCAAACTAGCAGCAGGAAGGAGCATTGAATCACTTGCACTGATCAATTTCAATCCCTGAACACTAATCATTCCAGAAGAATCACCAAAGTTTTTCTCAGCCTTGGCTCATTTAGGTCTTAGCTATGAACATCAAGCCAGTAAGTAGGCAAGCACAGTTGGACTCCGTTTTCTCTATTATCGAGGGGAAAGAAAGGCCGTAATGATAATTTTATTAAAAATACTATTGATCATAGCAAGACTGGATTTAGTTCTTCTCTCTTTTTTTTTTTGTTTTTTATTTTGGTTGACATCAACTAGAAGATATGATAATTCCAACTGCAATCTGCAGAAAATGGACCATAAATATTCTGCTCCAACAAAATTGGAGAGCGAACCTCTTGTAAACTTGAGAGCGACATGCCTGAGATTCACAGCTTTGGCCAGGATGTATCCAGTTCAGCTACCACTCTAAACAGCATTTCCCAGCACACACAAAACACACCATCACCAGTTTGGTCACATGACACAACACAGATGACTAAAAAGATCTACAATCGGATTGTTTTACATTTACATTCAGTCAAATGAACTGCACAAATACTTGGGATGCATGTATAACCATTTGGCACAAAGTAATCAACATTTTCGAAATCCATTTATCAAATGGTACATTCATTTGCTACAAATGTCAACATATTTCTGAATCTCAATCTGAACACGAAGAAAAATCCTCAATTTCTTCGCAGATGAGGATGTTTAGATCCTCATTTCCCCAGTTGATCTGTTCTTCCTTGATGTCTTGAACTAAACAACCTACAAGCTCTGGACATCGATGCACCTCAATCAATTGAAGAGTTAGACATTCCCCTAAACAAGAAGGGAGCTCCTGCAATTTCATGCAACCTTCCAAAATTATCACCAGCTGGGGTAGGTGATAAAGTGTTACTAACTCCAAAAAAAAAAGGTCCTATGATAGCCTGCACTTTCAAGTGATATGCATTTATTGTGGGTTTAACAAGTTCTATAATCTTATTTGGAGTACTTTCATTGATTAATAACCAGCTATTATGATGCTAGTTTATGCTCTCAAGTGTCAAGAAGTTTTTCCAATTCAGAGATAGAGAACAATAATTTATACCCAACCGTAGAAGATTAGGAAAAAGTTAAAAAAAGTGTGCTCAGTTTTTATTATAAGTTGTTTGGATAGCTGACATCCTGTAGTAATTAACCGACACGGTCTATGCAGTCCATGTTACTTTGTTCTGTTTGCCATTGTCCCTCTTCTTCTTGTTTTCTCAGATTTCTCTCTACCTTTATGGGAAGTGTTTTCGTTTCTTCTTTGCCTCTCAATAACCGAGTATGATCAAAACCCCCAGTTTTTCCAATAAAAGTACTGGTAAAACATCGAGTATAAGAAGTGATTATAGTTTTTTCCTTCATTGAAAACATTATTCTACCAATAGACAGCCAACTTTTTTCTAGCATATATAGACTTGAGTGGAATAACCATTTACGAATCAAAAGAAAGAACTTTTTTAAAGAAAAAAATCTTTTCAACAAGTTGAAAGATCAAGAAAGCAGCTTTTAATTAGACAATAGCATCTGATCCGCTTCTCATGAAGTATGCATAATCCACTTTGGTTGCTACAGCAATCGACTGAAGCAGCGCGAATTATGCTATGACTTGGAAAAATTGAATAACAAACGTAAAAGTAAAAGTAGGAAATCCATGACAGACAGTTGATGATGATTCATATCAATGTTGTAAGAATCTTTCGTCCTAGAAGCTATTCAAAAAGTTTGCCAATCAAAAGGAATCTTGTTATGAAAACCATTGGAATCTGAATACATGTTGTTAAAAGTATCTTTAGATGCCACCAAAGCTTATCATTCAACTGCCGTATAAGGACCAAACTTGTCTTCAGTGAAGTCGCATTTACTAGTTAAGAAAGAAGCGTGAATGCCATCTCTTGTTTTTTTTTTTTGGCTTAATCCATGAAGAGTCGAATAAGAAAGTATCAAGCCAACATTGACATAGAAATCATCTTAATCTGCAATTACGAAACAAAAAAGCACAAAGCTCACCATGATTAGATACATGCCTATACAGTGATCTGAACAGGCTGAATGGTAGAGACACCAAAATCTAGAGGAAAAACGGCTTTTAGCCTGAGACATTCATCAGTTAAAAAGGAAGAGTGCACCATAGGGCATCTCTGACATTCACAATCTAATAGGAAGGTGCCAGTACAATGCATAGACCAAGGTCTTGGTCAGGGTTAAACCATCATACATTCCTTTTTGAAATGATGTTTCATGTATTTACAAGAAGCGAATGTAGAACAGCACAACGGAGATTCGCAAAACCCGTTTTACAGCAGGCAGCTTCTCTTTGACAGAACATAAGGTTGATGTGGTTAGTTGCAACTAATACTGAGTTTAATCCTCTGAGCTAGCCTGCTGGCTGGATTGTCGTACAAAAACTTGTTCAAATCTGGGATATGCCAAGCCTGTCAAACAGCCTGGAATCAAAGCCAGAACCAGCCACATTACAGATCAAAGATATCTTCCTTTCAAGGTCAATGAAAAAGAACGAACAGGAGTGAAACTCTACAGAAAAGACACTCAAAAGAAACAACAGGTCACAGCTTTCTATTAATAACTACCAAAAACAATAGTAATAATAATTGCTTATTCTCTTTAGTTTTCAAAACATTTATAATTCTTCTTTAAACTGATAGGCACATCCTATAGTTTGCAAAAATAGAAACATGCAAACTATTTATCAGGATAAGAGAAAGATAGTCTTTACCTGGTTTTCCCAACCCAGTTTCATCTAAGTCGGAAAAAAAAAAGAGTAGGGTGGGACGTGTAATGAGGTGAAAACCTGAAAAGGGAAAATGCAGTCTATTCAAGAACAAAGGTTAAAAGAAGAAGTTATACCATTGATAGGAGATGTATTCACAGCATTGTCCACGTGGCCATAAAAGATATAGTTCGAATCTCATGACGAATAGCTTCAAGTTGGGAAAAAGTGTCTTGTAGTTCTTTATGCACCTACAAAACACAAAATTAGTACAGCTAATCTACAAAAATCGTTGAAAGACAAAGTACACTTTATATTTTAATTGTCTAGCCAGTGAACCTCAATCACTAACTATGCCATGCATGTGCTTTGTATACAGACAGACACAAACATACAGAGACATATCTATGTGCATGTAGAAAGAGAGAGAGAGAGAGAGACCCCCGACGAGCCTGAGATTACTGCATAACGCTATCGAATTGGCCACGGGCCACTTGGACATAGCCAATTGCCCTTCCAGCCAATATAAGAAATTCCCAGCATCACTCTTCCTTTTGCTCCCCCTCCTTCTAGGCACTTGTACCTGAGCAAGGCACATGACATGATGACAAGGTTAAATTAGTGTTACTTTCTAAGACTTAGGCTCAAAGATAAAACTGTTAGGTGTAGAAAAAATGTACTAATAGACAACCTTTGTTGTCTTCTTTATTCAATGACAATAAATTGCACATTGTGTTAAAAAAATCAATTAAAATCCCAAATTGCAACCACTAACACCAGAATATTCTCTTTTTGCTTCCTCTCTAACATCGCCTCCTCGCACGTGATGCACACAAACACAATTTCACACATTAACACACAAAAAGCACCAAAATCTCTCTTTCCTTTGCATTTTCTTTTTTAGGTTCTCATGTGGACATTTTATCAAAAGCTTGACGTGCATGGGCAAAAACAACAATTTTTCAGCTCAACATAAACTAATGCAGGGCCAAACTTTCTATTTCAACCATATTCACAGCCTTTTCCACATAAATGGAGCAAATAGTCACAAAGTTGCAGATGAAATATTGAAATACAAAGAAAATTAAAACAGGACCATTCAACAATACCCAGCAAAGAAATTCAATCTTGTACGTAAACTATACATAATTTGAACGAGATTGACAATTGAGAGCAATGAGAAGCAGCTACAGTGGTATTTTGAAGAAAATTTGCGCCCTGAGTTCGTGGATTGGACCTACTTGAAAATCAACCGAGTTGGTCCTTTTAACTCTCTGGTTTTAAAACATTAGTATCACAAAATGATACAAATAAAAAGATTATATGTCTTCCCTTTTTTAACTCTCTCTCTCTCGCCAATTGTTTTTAACTTTAAAACCACATTGTACCATCCCAAAGTGTAAAAACGCCAAACAATTAAAGAAAAATAGGCTAAAAAGCATGTATGGTGTTTCTCATGTTCGAATTGAAACATAGCACTATGTTGGTTTCAAAAACTCCCTAATACAGTAATGTAAAAATCCTTGCTTTGATCATTTTAGATATTGCATTCCAAAATGGTTTTGCCTAAGAATAACTATAGACACTTCAAAACAAAACTCCCTATTTAGTCTAAGTTGGCATTTTCTTTTGCCCAGCATCTAGTCTTCGTACAAATGGTTTGTAAATAAGGGAAAAAAAAAGATATTTTGTGGCTAGATATGCTACGTGTGGTATTTGCTCAGATGCAAAAGAAAGATAGTTTTCAATAATCGAATCAAGATTATTGAAACCCTAAAAAGCACTCAATGGAAGAAACTTGAAAAGTACTTAAAATGCAATTACTAGAAGAAACTTCAAAAGACAGTTTTGTGTAATGATGAGAGTTCCAGAGCCAGAGGACAGTTCTGAACTGAAACACCTCTGATCAAATTACTACCTTAGGCCACAATCTGTCAAATTTTGCTCCCACTCTTAACAACCATTGCTGCACACCTTCAACACACCATCACCCTAGCAGTTAATTTGCAGAACAGTTAGGGTACAAGCTAAATGCATAGCAGAGCACAGAATATACCCCAACAGTATATACCATCACACCTGTAACATCTGTAACCACAGGGATTTGCCCAGTGACTAGAGAAATGTTTAACACTCTCAGAGCTCTCTCCTCTATTAGGTTCAAAGTTCGAATTCCAGGCTTGACAATGAGAGGTGAGAAGGATGTGGAGACAGGTGGGGGATAAAATTAAGGATTAAAAAATAATGTCACATGACACAACACACTTGACAAACTAAATAAGCACAAATATAAGATCGTATCAGATTCCGTATTCCATTTTCCAGATGAAACATGTCTTTTACGTATAAATCACTAAGGTAAGTTTATATTCCATCATATAAGTTCCACAGATACTTGAGATACAAGTGTAAACAGCTGGAAAAATTATAAGCATACCCATCCTCAATATTTGAGCAATCAATTTAATCAAATAGTACGTTAATTTGTTATTAACACATAGCAACTTATTTATGCATTACAACGACAAATACGACATCAATGTAAACAGAACCATACAGAAGATAGTACCTCTTATGGCAGATGATCATTAGCCTGACCATCCGTCTGAATCTCCAACCATGAAGAAGACTCATCAATTTCTTCTGGTAGCCATCCGTCTGAATCTCCATCTGACCATGAAGAAGACTCCTCAAATTCTTCCGAGATAAGGATTTTCAGATCCATGTTTCCATAATCCATCTGCTGTTCCTCAATGCCTTCAAATGAATTCCTATCCAAGTTTGGACATCGATGCACCTCAATCAATTTAAGAGGAGATTCCCCTAAACAAGAAGGGAGCTTTTGTAATTTCTTACAATCATCCAAAACTAATTTTTCAAGACTGGGAAAACAATGTCCTAAGCCTTTCCACCTAACTATCTTCAAGGATTTCAATTTCAAGAACTTGAGTTTTGGGAAGAATATCTCCTCTTCCATGTCTTCCATTTCTTCACTATTTTCCATGTCTTGACTGTCCTGTTTCTCTTCCCACATCAGCTTGTCTATATAATCTGAGAACCTGAAGATTGGGTAGCTTTCCAATTGTGGAAATTATACACCAGGAAAATTCCTCCAGGGTCAACTTTTGTAGACTGGAGGGGAGATAGAGTTCAACACAATGCATAGTCACTTTACCTAAATTCAGCTTCAGTGATTCCAGATGACTCAGAAAGTTCATTACCATGACTCTATTGCTGTCTGCAGTAAATTCTGCTGATTCCACGAGACAGCATTTTAGTTGACGGATATTTGGAAACTTTCTAATCATCTTTCCATGCTTTGCCCCAGATACAACTTCATAGTTGAAAAAGTGTCTAAATTGTTCAAGAGGGAGGAGCTTTCAAGGTTATCATTGGCCAATCTAATATCAATCAAAGCACCATACACATGCAAATGCCTCAATTTCTGCATCTTTAGAAGAGTATCTTGCAACAAAGAAAGACCAACATCATCCTTTGTTCTCACGAGAAAAGTTTCCAAATTTGAGAGCATTTCAAGTGAGGATGGAATGCCATTCTTGAGCCAACCTAGAACTGCCAAGTACCTCAGTTGAACAAGCGACCATAATTCCCTCGGGAAATCAGAACCTAGACTAATATTTTCCAAGTCTAGCACATTAAGAAGTTTCAGGAGAAAAATGAAACGAAAATTGCACCGAGTTGGCGGACCCAAAATCTCGAGATGAATATAATAGAGAGCGTATCTGGGGACAAATTATCCTAGATTTGATGAAATGCTTTGGTTGAGCTTGAATAGATAATCGACGTGGGTTGTATGGCTCATCAAATGTAAGATCCTCATCATACCCTCGCACCAATTGCAGAAAATTTTGTTTTTTGGCTTTTTTCACACAAAAGACATGCAACAAATCATGAATGCGACAGGTCTTGACCTCACCTGCGTATCTTCGTTGCCCTACCATAACTAAGCTTCTGTTGATTAGAGCCCTTATATAGCCTTCTGCTATTTTCTCTAGGCACTCCGACTCACTTTTCTGCACAAATCCCTCAGCGATCCATAACCATGTCAACCTCCGAACACAAATTTCTTGATCTTCTCGAAAGGCTCCAAAGTAAAGAATGCATCGCTTCAAATGGTCAGGCAGATGCCTGTAACTCAGCTTTAGTATCCTGCGGCATTGTTCTGTGGCACCAACCATGGCAGTTAAACTTACCATTTTTGCAACTTCTTCCCAACCAGCTTCACGAGAGTTGCAAGGATACCAGATATAATGGCAATTGATAGAGGCATCCCATTACAAGTTTTTGCTATTTTCCACCCAAGAAGGTTTTGTTCTTGAGAATAGCCTCCTTCTCTAATAACTGCCAGCTTCTTCTGTAGTAATTCACAGCTTTCTGATTCACTAAGTGTCCTAAGATTACAAGGTTTGCCAACAATATCAGTAAGTCGACTTGTTAAGAGTATTCGGCTTCCATTGTTTTTCTCTGGGAATGAAGATTTTAAAGCATTCCACGCTTCGATGTCCCAAACATCATCCAAAACTATAAGAAACCTCTGTCTCAACAAGCATTGCCAGAGTTCAAGAGCCAATTGATATTCATCCTTCTCAGAAAATTGAGTTTTCTGATCAATGCAAGCCAAAATCTGAAGCAACAAATCTTTCTTGCAATATGTTTGGGAGATATAACTCCATGCCTGAATGTGGAAGTGAGATGTAATTCTAGGATCACGGTAAACTCTTTGTGCCAAAAATGTCTTGCCTAGTCCAGCCACGCCACAATGGAAATGACGTCCAGCTGCTTTAGACCTTTATAAGTTTATCAATCACTGCTTGCTCCACATCCTGCAAGACCACCTCAGCTTTATCGACTGTTGAGATACTACCCGATGATGACACCTGGTAGGATGCTCCACTCGTCTTGCTTATCTCTGTTTTCCAAAAAAATTAAGAAGAGAATGAAATATCATTAATACAAAATGGAGTGCTAACATTATTGTGATCCATGTTGAGATATTACCTTGTGGTGTCAGATGCCTCAAACTCTTGGCAGCTTCTTGGGCTTCACTCTTAACACGCTTAATTCCTTTTGCAACTTCATCAAATAACATCAGAGGATAAAATGTTATCAAATAACACCAGGGAATAGATAATATGAAATATAGCGTTAATCACAAGAAGTCTCCTTCAAGCATACCCCAATTTTCAGTTTATCCCTAACATTTTTTTTTTTTTTGGTCTCACTTTATCCCCTATTGGACAAAATTACCCCTCCATTATTCTAAATTCCTACTGGACAAAATATTTGTTGTAATATTTCCATGTCAATGTTTAATTAATCAATGACTTTCCTGTTTGATGTTTCCTTTTTCCCCATCATTCAACTTTAATTTTAGTTTAAATGTAGCCTACAGCCTTCTTTCTTGATTCCAGAATGCAAAGAAAAGTATGGACCTTTACTTCAATTCAATAGTAATTAGGAAATAATTAGAGCTCGGAAATATTTCAGAAAATTGAAAGCAGCTAATACTTTCTGGTTGGCATACCCGACATGTGTGGATTTTTTTCGTCTCACACAAATTTCAAATGTTGCCTTGCAATTAAATCTGCTAAATTTGTTCTTGATGCTAAAAGTTGTTGGTGAATTGCATGAATTTCTTTTTCTTCAAGCGTTTGTAGATTTTCAGGTAAATTAGAGTTTTTCTTTTGAATCTTGAGCTTTCTTTGTCAATGCAAGCCAAAATCTCGAGCAACAAATTTTTCTTGAAATATGTTTGGGAGACACAATACCAAGCAAAGAATGTCAAAGTGAGATGTAACTAAAGGAACATGGTAGATTTGTTGTTCTAGAGTTGCCTTACTTGGATCAGGCATACCCACAATGGAAACCATGTCCAGATGCGTTGATCCTCCTATAAGTTGATCAATTTTTGCTTGCGCCTCATCCTTCAATTCTACCACAGCTTTGTTGTTTGTTGAGATACCACCCTCTGATGGCACCTGGTAGAGTGCTTCAATAGTCCGCTTATTGCTTGCTGTTTTGAAAACCAAATAGAGAACAATATAATTAGAAATTTTGCAGCGTAATATAATCATCTATTCAATATCGTTGAGATATTACCTTTGGACATCTCGGTAGCTTTCTGGGCAAGGTTAACAATTTCTTCTCTGACATTATCAAGTAACAACAGAGAATAAAATGATACATCTCTAACTATTAACGAGTCGATAACAAACTCTGCCTTGTATGCCACTTTCACAACATGACTCCAAAGAGCTTCGAGCCCTTCATGGTAGTTGGGATGCTCCCTGCTTCTTTCCAAGAATGATCTTAAGAATACTAGATCATCTTGCATTGCTTGAAGTTGGAGCTTTTCATTCTGTTTGTGCTGCACCAAATTATTTTCCAAGAATGACCTTAGGAATGAAAGATCTTGCATGTTTCGAGGTTGAAGCTCAGGACACCCTGTTGGATGCTCCACATTCTTTTCCAAGTATGATCTTAAGAAGTCAGATCTGTCCTTTGCAAAAGAAGATACTGGATCAACTTTATAATTTGCTAGTTCCTTCAATTTATCTAGAAGGTGATCGATAATCCCCAACACATTAGTGGTACGGAAGTTGAACCTTGGCACTACAGGATAGCTTTCATCAACGGCTGCCTTGATAGTGTTTATCTTCCCCAGCAAACAAAAGAGCTTAATATCTATTTCCTTGGCCAAAGCTTCTGGGATGTTATATTGAGGAAGTGAGAAAATTACAACCCCAGCATCATTGACCACAACTCCAATAATACACTTGATTCTTCCAGGTAACCCATCATACTTCTCTTGTTGCTTCTTGAGAATGTTTCTCAAAAATTGCAGTCCATCATAGAGTATCCGCATTTGATGCTGCAGAGATTCCAAAAACCTGGTAGGACAATGTTGTAGTAGCTCCAAAAGATTACTTAGGAGAGAATCTACAAATTCCCCTGCTATAATCATATGCATCTTCGTAGACACAGTGAGCGATGATGATCCGCAAACCAAGATGCTGCGGACTTGGTAAACAACAGACTCGAACTTCTCGATTAATTTAGCTATCTGTGAGCTCATTTCATCAAGGACCGTATTATCTTCTCTAAAGAACCAGCATTTATAACAAAGACCTGCTGCAAATGGTACTAGAGTCTTACAGTACTTCATAAGTTCCAGCTGGTTTTTGCCGTGCAACCTGGCAAAGAGAATGAGATTCTTAAAGAATACTAGCTTCTTTTGAAGGGGTGTTAGCAATGTTTCAAGTCTTGAATCACAGGCTTCACCCCAGACGGCAATATCCACAAGATTCTCTAGCAAAGATTGGGAGAATTCTATGAAATTATCTTCCCAAAAAAAAGGGGCCAAAGAAGGACACAAATCCAGTTCTACATAAGACATAAATTTATCTGAAATCTTGTCATACGATTCACTGATTTCTTGCCTAAGAAATTGTTGAAAATCAGATGCTGCTCGGGCTAATCCATCATCTAATCGACGAAGAAGAGAGTGAAACTGCTTCGCCTTTTCAGCAACAATCCATGCAAAATGGCTAGTCTCATCACACCGAAATCCTTGACACAAAATAAGTGTTTTAGCTAGTCTTAGCTCTATCTTCAGCTCATTCAAACCACAATCATCCCTTGCAGCAATCTAGGATTAAATCAATGTATTTTGAGAATGATCTAGATGCCCAGACACCAGAATAAGTCAAACGGGCTTGGTCAGCAAAAGCAGAAATCTTCTCTAATGATATGGAAATGTTTGGTTTAATCCAATCAGACACTTCATTATAATCTCTCAAAAACCAACACATGAAGCAGAGATAAGCTGTATATACAGCCAAAAATCCACAATGCTTCTTATGTTCGATATTGTCCGGGATTTCTCCTTGTAAGACACCATTCAAGAACTTTAGCTTCTCGTGAAGGGGCGCCAAGAGTGTGGCAAATCCTGGATTACAGGCTTCGCCCTGAAGAGAATATCATCAAGATTCGTTAGCAAGGAGGAGAAGAAATCCAGGAATTCAGAACCCCAAGAACAATCCCGATCCACTATGCGATCCAGCATAGCGGAATAGCATCGAAGCATGCACCCGGCCGAGTCCTTGTAACCTTGCAAATTGTGCAGCATGGCTTCCAAGATCCGGATGTAGTCATCTCTGATTTGGTCCCTAAATGTGTGCACAACTTTTCGAAAACAAGAGACCTCTCCAGCAGGGGGCAATCCATCCTCAAGTAGAAGAGAGTAAAAACGCTGCCCATTTTTATCAACAGAGTCTTCAAGGCTTGAAGAAGAATGCCGTCCACACAGAAGAAATGTTCTTACAAGTCCTAACTCCACCCTCAGCTTATTTAAGCCATCATAACCCTCGCCACCAGCCACTGCAGCTTACCTAAGATTAAATCAATGCAGCTTACGCACTTCCCCATCCGCTGCTTTGCGCCGAATCCGATGATCCCTCTTCCACTATTCTCAGATCTGTGTCTACCTCTACCGGTACGGTGATCTTTTTCCTCTCTACCTCTCACGATGCTTTTTTGCCAACACCGAGTAGCCTTTAAGTCAAGGGCCAAACTTTTGCTTCTGTAAACTTCACCGATGTTGCATTTACGAATCTAGAAAGAACTAGCCTGATGGGTATTCTAATTTTGGTTTTTTTTCATCTTATACAAGAATAAGGTATCCATAAGTTAATCATTTCCAGTAAACTTTTTACGCACAAATTTTTTTAGGACACTAGTAGCGTATCACAGATGTAATTTTCAAAATCAGAGATACAAGTTAAATGCATGAGATTTTAAGAAATCGGGATTGTGTCCCCTGTCTACTGAGTATTATTTACAACATTTGTAATCTTTTTAGTCCCGTTTGGATTGCTATTTTGTGGAGTTTTTATAGAAAAAAATATATATTGTAATAATTTGATATATAAAATTAAAAAATTAAGAAATATATTCACAAAAATGTAAAAAATTTTTGAGAGAAAATTGCTTTCCCAACATGCAATTGAGAAACAAAAAACACAAAGGTCCCTGTATGTTTTTTTTTTTTCATCTTGTAAGACGAAAATACTTCAAGAAAAGAATCTTGATCCCAGAAAAGATTTCATCGTATAAGACGAGTTCCAAAGTAGAGGATTAACTTAAAACTTTAGAAGAATAATCACGTTGTCTTTCCCTACTGATCAAAATAAGGCAATCTGAGAGTTTGCTTTTTTTTTTGACGGAAATGTGTCAAAAACTAGCAGACAGGAGATTATGTAACCTGCATTTATCAGTTTCAATATTTTAGAAGTAATTTTTTTTGAAGATTCGCCAGAGTAATTAATTGAGAGAAAGAAAAGTTAACACTTCGTGCAATATGATTACTTATTGAAAAACTAGATTTTTATGATCTTTGTGTGGGTTGACGTCAATTCAAAATGAGAGGAATGCGCAAAATTTGTCCACCTACATGTTTCAGTGATGCTAAATTTTCTACCTGAGAAATAATTACTATTTAGAGCCTTCACATTCTCTCTGCACATTAGGTATATATATATATATATATATATATATATATATTAAAAGTGACAACGTGATTTGGTGTTTTAGTGATTTAGTTTTTGCTTTTCAATAACTTTTAAAACTTCAAGGGAGGGCAGTGAAATTGTCAGAAATCTCAAAAGAGGTTTCTGAAAGTATCCCAAATAATTACTATCTAGAGCCTTCAATATATATATATATATATATATATATATAAAGCACCATTGTGATTTGGTGTTTTAGTAATGCAGTTTTTGCTTTTCAGTAATACCCTTGCATAATTAAATAATGAAATGTGCCTTAAACTTCAAATACGAATTGGATGAGGGATATTTTTGGATATTCGTGTTGATGCAATTACTGTCTTCTAAAATTTAGTATTCTAAAAGAAAAGAAATTCCAAACAAAGTTAAACAAAAAAAAGGGGGTGGTGGGGGGGGGGGGGGAACCATACTGTAAAACAAAGTTAAACCCAAAAATATGGAAACCATATTGTCAAAGGAAATTGAAGAAGTATTCCTGCTTTATTAATTTTTATAAAAATTAGTTTCTGCTTTCCAACATTAACCCTCCCGTAACATGTTAAGGCTAGCTCCAAATTTGAATGACTTATTGATATCGTTGAGGGTAATTGTGTAACGTTGTTGTTAAGTTTTTATTTCAGGAAGACAGCTATATTGCATTTTTCTTATGAAATATAGTAACTTAGTAAGATTTGGAATGAAATATGACAAGAAAGGCCACTCACGAGTCGTGAGAATGGAGCAAAACACTTCTGATTTTCAGTTGTCATGATAGGAGAGCTGCGGCTCACAACCACCACCAAGATTGTAGATGGCTACAATTCCAGATTGGAATAATTTCCAATGAGTTACTAGAAATGAACATATCTAGATCAACTCGGTGCTTTTTCATTTTTTATTTTTTTTGTAGGAAAACCTTCGGAATCCGAATACATGTTGTTAAAGGTATTTTTAGACTCCAAACGCTTGTACAAGGACCAAACTTTGTCATCTGTAAACTTTAGTCAGTTCACACTTACTAGTTGAGAAAGAATCCTGAAGGCAAACTTTTGTTTTTAGCTTAATACTTATAGAGTCGAATAAGAAAGTACCAAGTAAACATTGACGTCGTAATCATCTTGATCTGCAATTACGAGACGAAAAAGCACAAAGCCCACCATGATTAGGTACATGCATGTACATTGAACAGAACAGCCTAAACAGTAGAGACGACAAGATCTAGAGAAGGGGGGTAAAAACAGCTTTTAGCTGGAGACGTTCATCAGTTAAAAGTAAGAGTACAGCATAAGGCATCTCCAATATTCACAATCTAATAGTAAGGTGCCAGTACAGTAAACAGACCAAGGTCTAGGTCAGGGCTAAATCATCATCCATCCCCTTTTGAAATGATGTTGCATGTATTTGCAAGAAGTGAAGGTAGAACAGCACAACAGAGGTTCTTAAATTCCATTTTACGGCAGGCAGCTTCGCTTTGACAAAGCATAAGGTTGATGTGGTTAGTTGCAACTAGTACCGAGCTTGATCCTCTTAGCTAATTTGCTGGCTGGATTGTCGAACAAAATCGTGTTCAAATCTGGGACATGCCAAGCCGGTCAAACAGCCCGGAATCAAAGCCAGAACTAGCCACATTATAGATCAAAGATATCTTCCTTTCAAGGTCAATGAAAAAGAAAGAACAGCAAAAGAAACTAAAAACAAACAACAGGTCACAGCTTTCTATTAATAACTACCAAAAAACAGTAATAATTAATAATTAATAATTGCTTATTCCTCTTTATTTGTCAGAACATTTGTAATTCTTCTTTAAACTGACAATATTCCAATAGCACATTCTATATTTTGTAAAATATAAACATCACTCTTCAGGATCCATAAATACCAAAAAGCAAAACACACTAACTCTTTATCAGGATAACAGAATAATACCTTCTCATTCAAGTTTTTCTAGATTTTGAGGCTGTGAAAAGAAGTCTTTTGCATTACGAGCCACCTCTGCCTCCAAGACTGCTTCCAAAACTATATCAGATCCCATCACCGTATCTGATATCACTATCAGCAATAAGTTCTTTGTGGCATAATTAATCCTAGCAGCTTCACTAATAACCTAAAGATGCCAGGTTCATGTACCAGCAGGCTAAATCACAAGCTTTTTCGACAGTCCAACATTTACTTTCAAAATGTAATATTAAAATAAAAATCTAAGATTCCGAGATTTAGTAATCAATGGATGCAGTAGATTGTGACCTAATGTTGTGGAACAAAATAAAAGACACCAATGATGCATTATACCAGGCAGACTCCAACAGCCTGCAAGATTGGAGAGTGCGTTATTGTTTATTCTAGCTGATTTTGTTGCTCTAGCTCCCAGTCTCTACCAAAGAAAATAACAATTTCTTGTAATGGTGACATCGCCTTGCCAAATGCCTCCCAACTGTGCTAACTAGCAAGGCAGATGCTTCCATCTCTGGTGGGCCCACCTCTTCCTCCTAACTATATTAATCCTTGCCTAATCTTTGTCACAAAGAGTCTTGATTTCCAAGATCAAATGAAGCAGCATATTCTAAAAGGACATGCTAAAAAGAAAAAAGCAAATTTGCAATAACTATGCAGTAGCTAAACTATCTCCTCAGCTTCTACCAGTTCATTCCAGGCAACAAGCACCTGATAAAAACTGGTAATACTTGTTCATGTCTTAACTTCACCAAGGAAATAAAAGTTTAATCTAGTGCCACCAACAGATAAGGTAAGATACAAATCCAAATTACCTTTTAGAGCATCGTCAAACATAAAGATATTTAACTGCCTATTCCAGATAATAGGTCAGTTCTGGAAAATACCCTCTAAATCACCCAAAAAGCAAAAGGGAGACTGAAAAGTCTAGATGATAAATAGAAGCACAATTAAAGACTAGAGAGTAAGAAGAAAGACAGAAACTGGCAAAAACCAAAACTAGAAAACGACTCACACCTTTTCGATTTGGTAACAATCCTGCACTTTCAGCTGAAACAGGTAGGATGGTAAGACCAGATTCATCCGTTAACTCATTCAGAACTTCATTGTTCACAGAAGCAGGGTTCAATGACTTAGATTCAGCCAACTTTGCATAAGCTATAGCTTGGCTGTGCATGTCAGATGAGGCTGAGGCTTGTGAAGCATAACCCTAGGAAAGACATAATTCAACCCCTGCTGATAAAACTCATTGCTAATAGTAACAGGAAGTAGATTCTAAGCAACATGATGAACCTTAGCAGTGGGGATTGCTGAAATGCTCTCTTTATCAACTTTTCCCAGCCCAGTTTCATCTAAGTCAACCAAAAAAAAACGGTTGGGGGAAGGGGGGGGGGGAGTTAATGAGGTGAAAACCTGGAAAAAGAAGATTGTGGCTATTTAAGAACAAGAGTTGTAAGCAGACCTATACCATTGGTAGGAGATGTATTCACAGCATTTTCCACAAGGCTGCGTGTTAATGGACCAGGATTCATGAAAGATATAGTTCGAATCTCATGACAAATGGCTTCAAGTTGGGAAATAGTGTCTTGTAGTTCTTTATGCACCTACAAAACACAAAATTAGTACAGCTCATCTACAACATCATTGAAAGACAAAGTGCACTTTACATATATCTATGTGTGTATGTGTGTGTGTATATATATAATATGTATATAAGAGAGAGAGAGAGAGAGAGAGAGAGAGAGAGAGAGACCTGACGAGCCTGAGATTGCTGCATAACACTATCGAATTGGCCACGGAACACTTGGACATATCCAATTGCCCTTCCAGCTAACCTCCCCGCAGTTCTTGCAATTATTGGCAAATCCTTTGGGCTGAACTACAGCTATGAATATCAACACATAAACCTCAATTCAACGTTGACTCTAATACATATGCACATATGCCAGAGCAAGAGATAGAAAGTATCATCTCCAAAGATCATCCTTGGAGCCTCCCAAGCAAAAATGGAAAAACCCCAAAATACAACACACTTTGTCATGATAGCAAACAATAAAATTTACTACATTCTTTCATCATATTTGGAATCTACATCAATTATACGTAGGTAATCATCAAAAAGATGTAAAGATCAAAATCTATACAAGGAGGAATAGCCAATAGCGTACCAATTAGAGCAGCAGTAGCACCAATTATGAGAAACAGCTCCCCATAAGAAATCCCAAGCATCACTCTTTCCTTTTGTTCCCCCTCCTCCTAGGCACTTGTACCTGAGTAAGGTGCATGACAGGGCTAAATTAGTGTTACTTTCTGAGACTTTGGCTCAAAGATAAAACTGTAAGGTGTAGGAAAAATGTACTAATAGACAACCATTGTTGTCTTCTTTATTCAATGACAATAAATTGCACATTGTATTCAAGAAACAATCAATTAAAATCCCAAATTGCAACCACTAACACCAGAGTATTCTCTTTTTGCTTCCTCTCTAACACTGCCTCCTTGCGCGTGATGCACACAAACACAATTTCACACATTAACGCACAAAAAGCAACAAAATCTCTCTTTCCTTTGCATTTTTCTTTTTTGGGTTCTCATGTGGACATTTTATCAAAAGATTGAGGTGCATGGGCAAAAACAACGATTTTTCTGCTCAACCTGAACTAAAGCAGGGCCCAAACTGTCTATTTCAACCATATTCACAGCCTTTTCCACATAAATGGAGTGAGTAGTCACAAAGTTGCAGATGAAATATGGAAATACCAAGAAAATTGAGACAAGACCATTCAAAAATACCCAGCAAAAAAATTCAATCCTGCATGTAAACTATATATAATTTGAACGATGTTGACATTGAGAGCATGAGAAGCAGCTTACAGTGGTATTTCGGAGGAAAATTGCGCTCTGATAGTGTCCTTTTCCTTTTCTTCTTGAAGGAAATGATGAGTTCTCAGAGGCAAGGACGGTGAATCGAGAGAGCGATGGGGGACGTTGTATCACCCGCGATTTTGAAACCCAGACCAAATTGGTCGAACCGGAAAAAGTGGGTCAAGGGTCATGACTCAAGACATCATAAATATGTTAAAACTAATTTTTATGATCTAAAAGATAATTATACAAATCAATAAAATTACATGAAGCGATTGGGTGACTCGTACAATTAATTGAAGTGGTAAATTTGTAATCTTAAGTAAAAACATACAAGTATTCTAAAATCATAAATCAATATTGAAGAGTAATGAACTAAGATTTAAAGCTAAATATATCATTAACATTAATATATTTCATCTTTTAAGTTAAGATAGCAAATTTAACAATATTAATCATTATGTTCTCTTTGGTTATTTAGTGAAATAGCGTAGGCAAGAAAATTGGAGGAATGTTTGAAATAAAGAAAAAAAATGTGAAAAAAAGTGAACTATAAAATAATAAAATAAACGCTGACCAAATTAAGCTCAATAAAACTCATTGTATTCTCCCAAAAAAAAAAAAAAACTCATTGTATGGTAAATGAAATTTGAGCCCTTTCATGCCAATTATTTACAGCTTAAGGATTATGAGAATAAAAAATTCAGTTGTCATTATTTAGTTAAATTTATGGGTTGATAACTAGAGGTCTGGCAAAAAACAATAGAGGTCTACAAAATAATTTTTGTAAATTCACCAATTTAATGGTTTGCTAATTGAAACATCCAACTTTTCTAGTTTGCATTAAAATGGGTGGTTTTTTTTTTCACGTTTGCGAGTTCGAAGATTGGACCAACTCAAAAATCAACCGAGATAATGTTCATTACTATATGCTTTTAAAAGAATATTATCACCAAATAGTTTAGTTTTAAAACATTAGTATCATCAAATGTGTATAAGGATTATATTCTTCTCTTTTTTTTTTATCTCTCTCTCTCTCTCTCTCTCTCTCCAAATTATTTTTAACTTTACAACTGCATTGTACCATCCTAAAGTGTAAAAATACCAAACAATTAAAGAAAAATAGGCTAAAAAACATGTATGATGTTTATCATGTGCGAGTTGAAACACAGCACTATGTTGGTTTCAAAAACTCCTGAATATGGTAATGTAAAAAATCATTGCCTTGATCATTTTAGATATAGCAGTCCAAAATGGTCTTGCTTAAGAATAACTATAGCTACATCAAAACCAAAAAATAATTTAAAAAGTAATTAAATTTTATGAAAATGCTTAAATAATTGAAAATTATGACATGACAATGGCCCAAACGATATACACAAATGTGAGAATAGTTAAAAACAAGGAAGTTGGTTATTTTTTTACTTTATTTTTTGACTTACTTAAGCAATATATGCAAATGTGAAAATAGTTAATAATAAAAAAATAATGTTTACTTTGTTTCTGTGCATAAACGTGGATACCTTATAAAATATCATTTTACTTAAAAAGAAATATGTAGTTCACTATTCTAAATTGCCAACATGCCTAGTCACCACAACTTACTTTCTTTAAATTATTAAAAATTAGCTTTAAATTATTTTCTTTCTCTCTTTTTATGATTTATGTCAAACTTTTAATAGAATGCTTATTGAGCTGAAAAGGCTTTTATAGGCTGAGAGGTAGAAAAAATTTCTAGCTACTACTTGTTAAATATCTAGATCAAATAATTTTCACCATGCATTTAGAATAGACTTTCGTGGGAGTTTATCACTGTGTAATGTTTGCATTATTCTCTTCAAACACCAACCAAATGGCAACAATGGAAAAGGAAATAAAGGGAAGAAAGATAGACCAAGGGCTAATAGTTCAAAAGAAGCAGAAGTAAAAAAGAAAAAAAAAAGTGAATCAACGTAAAATGCAGGAAAGGAAATAACAACATACAAAAAAGGAAAATAGGAAGGAAAAAAAAAACCAGTGAAGCAGCTGATTTTAGAGGCCAAAGAAAAGCTGAGCTCCACAAACAAATTTGATCTTACTCCACATGCCTAAATCCCCTCAATGGCCAAGCCACTGGCTCACTCCTCACTCTACTCTTTTCCCTCATCATCTTCTTCAAGTTCATCATCTCTTTTATGTCCCATAACGGTATGCTCTTCTCTTCCCACTCAATTGCTGACAAACTCAGAAATCTCAATTCTTTCCTCAGTTTCCTCTTGTTCTTCCAAGCTCCAATTCATTCAACAACACTCCACTGCCACAACCACAACACTAAAGCATCCAATTTTGCTCTTCACTGCCCTTGATACACCCCCGGTTGACACCCAATCCTTTCTGGCCACTGTTAGTGTCTTGGCTGCCATTGCTCTCCCTATTTCTTGGCCTCAAGGTTGCCTTTTTGTTGATTAAATTTGTTATCTTTTTGTGGTTTCTGCTTGATTTGGCTTCATATGCTTATTAGGCAAAAGGGTTGTTCTTTTTTTAACACTAAATTTTCTTCATGCTTTAGGATTATCTAGTGCAGCTTGAAATTATAAGCATACTGTTTTTGTTTCTTTTCCTAAAAAGCTGTTATTTTTGTGGTTTTGTATGTGCAGGGGGATCCTGTTCCTTGTGACAGGTGTGCTGGAAATGGTAATCTCTTTTTCTTGGAACGAAATTCTTTATACATTAGTATACGTGCATTTAGTCTGCACAATTGACTTGCATGTAGATTGCAAGTGAATTTTTAGGTGCAATTTTACATTATTGTATTAAAAACTGGTGTTTTCGTTTATATGCACAAAAAATCTAATGCAGATTGGCAGGAAACTTTATAAGTCAAGTCAAGTCGAGAGTTAAGTTTCGAGACATGCTCTCTCTCTCTCTCTCTCTCTCTCTCTCTCTCTAATGTCTTATTTGGTGTTCCCACAAAGGTGAAATTTTTTGGTTTTTCTGGTCGAGCAATGCTGATGATCACTGCAGATTTTGGTTGGCATGTTTTGTGTGTAAGGCTATGAAAAGTGGAAATCAAGCATCTCAATGTCCAAATATAAGCTACTCTTTTGCTTTCTGATTAGAAAAGGAAAAAAGAAAGTGAAGAAGAAAATAGGGAGGTAGAATTTTTCAGGAATCTTTTTACCAGATGTGATTTAAAGGTTTATAGCCTGAAGTTCTGCTTTTTTCATAATATGAAAAATCTATGTCCAATGAGAAGAAATCTCTTAAGTCTGTTAAAGAAACAGTGAAATTGAAAATAAACTTCTAAGTGCAGATTGTGGAATATTAATCTGGTATTACTTCGTTCAAAAGTGTGTCTGTATTAATCAGATATATGCTTTTGGAACAGTGTCAAAATGAGCATCTTTAATTTGAGGAATTGACGTACAATTGATTCACGAATTTCCAACTGATACCATATTGGAAATTTTAGCTATTTAGCTCTAAGACTGTATGAATGGTTACATTCCAATTGACAGAATTCATAGTAATTCGTTTGGTACATAAAGAAGACCATGTTTCTCTCTTTCTCGGATGGTACTTAGCTTCAATGACTCAACAGAATATTGCCTGAGCTGCTCCTTTTGCAAAAATAGACTGATAGAGGCACCATGTGGAATCAAAGTGACAACCTAATAATCAGAAGTTGCAAGGCTTCAGAAACTGATTTCCAAGGGTGAGGAATGGGTAGGATGGTGTAAGGGAAGGTCAAGAATGAAGATCATACTTTGTCCCTTGTTAGCACCATAATCCTTGAGATGGTATTTAAAGTTGTACCTACCTTAACCTTTCAAAATTGCTAATTGAACAGGATTTAAGTAACTCTTTTTCACCTTTGGTTAAGCATAAGCAAAACGAAAATAGAGCTGCTACAATTCAATTTGGGAGTTTTTAAGTCAATTTACTAGTTTAATATCCTCTATGATGTGCGTTTGCATGAGTCATACTGGATTGCTGTTTCACTACTTGCTTCTGAGTGATTGACAAAATACCACTTGGTTTCTTTTTGGGCAATTTTAGGCTCTCCTAACAATATGTTATGTAGTTGGCTCCAAGGATAAAGGATTAAGATTTGGAGCATATTTTATGAGCATAAACTTCTAATTAGATTCATAAACCTAACTAGAATATTAGAAAGGTCTGTTTGTTCCAGGCGTACATAGTTTGACTTCAACAAGCACATAGGGAATCCTATTTTGACATTGGCCCTATGAGATGGCTCTTTACAGATTCTAGATTAAACCATCCTATTGCTGACCCTTAGCCCTCTGCAGCTTTGTACAAAGTTCAAATATGAACCACCAAGTCATTTGCCTTATTGTTTATGTTTATCAATCTCAAGTGTCCAATCACTTATGCATCAGTGGCCAGAACCATGGAAACACTTCTCAACCACCATCTAGAAGTCTAACTAAATGAATCATCTCAATTCTCTTACTTACAGCTTCCATCACCAAAGTAAAAGCAAAGTCATTTTAAGTTTCATATGGTATACTGAGGCACTGCCCGGGAAAGTGAAGAAGCAGAAATCAGATGACCTGATAGCGTCAACTACATTACAAGGTATACATACTCAATCATAATATATCGAGAGGAGTTTAACTGGTGGGAGCAAGTTGGATAGTTAGGCAAAAGTGCGCGTCATTTCTGGAATGTTTGAGCGGTGATTTTGCTCTGCAGCCCGCAGACTCTTAAGAGTATAGTGGTACTGGACGAGTTATTCCCTTAGCTATTCCCTTATTATGGTTTCATTTGACCAATTACTTGTCCTTTATGAGTTTTGTATTATTGCCCTTGAACGATTTATTTAGCTCAATGCATTTTTAAAATTTTCCAATCAGTTAAAACCTGGTATATACATAAGTGGATCGAATTATGTTAGGGTCACCAATGAGTACGTAATCACTCTTGTTTGGCTTGAAGACTTCTGTGAATATCTGTAGTCCTTTTGGATTTGAAGCCGTGATGATTTCAGATACCTGTTGATAAAATGGAAGTGTTCATTACGTGTTAGTAGTCATTTCCCCCATAGCTGATGAACTATTCTTTGGTAATTGACGACAGGTGGTACCAAATGTGTCTTCTGCAATGATGGTAAGATGAAAATGGAAACAGGGCTGGTTGATTGCAGGGTCTGCAAGGGTGCAGGTTTGTTA